TATCTTTTTACTATACTAAGAACAAAAGAAAAAGACGAAAGAGACTCACGACGTACACTCCTGAACCCCTAATCACCCCGGTGGAGATGTGTATAAGAGACAGATAATAGACAGCCCACTGCCCCCGACGTGATGCCAAACCGGCGGTTCCGAGGGCAGTAAGAAGGGCGGTTCGATATGGCCTCGTGTTCGGTCAGCACTTGCGCCGACTACGCCAAAAAAAGGTAGTAGTGGTAGTAGTAGTGCGGGTAGTAATAGTGGTGGTAGTGGTAGTAGTAGTAGTGGTAGTAGTAGTGGTAGTAGTAGTGGTAGTAGTAGTGGTGGTAGTAGTAGTGGTAGTAGTAGTGGTTGTAGTCGTGGTAGTAGTAGTAGTGGTAGTAGTGGTAGTAGTAGGGGTAGTAGTAGTGGTAGTGGTAGTGGTAGTAGTGGTAATAGTAGTAGTAGTAGATCACTACTACGACCACTACTACTACCAGTACTACTACTACTACTACCACTACTACTACCACTACTACTACGACTTCTACTATTACGACTACTACGACTACGACCACTACTACTACTACTACTACTACTACTTTTTCGTTTTAAAAGAGACTGAGGGCAACATCTCTGACCGGATGGTCCTAGGGCTCGAGTTCCGATGATGGAGGATTTTCGACACCCTTATTTAGCTAGATTGACGTCAGTTACAGTCTGCAGTAGAATTCTAGAAGCCGGCTACTCTGATCTATAGATTTCCGTGGTTTCTACGATCAATACCAGGCAAATGACGGAGAAGAATCCTAATAAAGTTGCCACGGAAAGCACGCGATCTTCCGTTAAAATTTACCTTCCTCTGTCTTTAAACACACACACATACACACACTTATACTTACATGCATTACTCGATTCCATTTGTGAGCTTAGACCTTGTCCTGGCTGGGCGGGGCCTAGCGGGAGATACCTGGAGTGGGAAATCGATATCACGCAGGATTTTACGTTCCAACGGAACACCGTCATATCTCCTAACAAAACATATATTACATGGACTAAATGATCATAGTTGGCGTGTGCGGCAACATGTATCAATTATAATAAAATGTTTTTGGGTTAAATGAGATAGGTCAATAAAATAAAGCTACCATGGCGTAACAAGGATATTAATGGATTTGTTTAGAAAATAACATTGATTTATAAATAAATAGCATATAATTTATTTTGTGATAATTGTGGAAATAGAAAAGTAAACATTTACGTGGCATTCAGGTACAAATTATTTTTCAAATAACAATCAATTAATTTCAAACTTGACAAAAGCAGTGCCATCTGATATAACGCCTTAAAAAAAATAGCAAAAAAGACAAAAATCATTTCTCTCTTGAACGGGTTAGTACTTGGTAGTATATTCCTTATTTTTTAGTACATCCCAGTATCATCTTCCTAGTGAGCTCACAAACGTCTGTATCCCTCTTCTTGAGCTGATTACCTTTTGTATTTCTTTCCACTTCTGTCTAAATTAGTGGCTTTGGATCGATAAATCCTTCTACCAACACATCCTCACACATTTTTAATTGGCTTTTCAAAATGTTTTTGTTTGGCTGAATTTCGTTTTGACGCATGTACTTTTCCATTTATACATCATGCTATCAAAAACCATTCAAAAAGAATTGAAATGTCAAGAAACTACTATTATTTTATAATTTTTTACAGCAACTCTATTATTATGACTGATGAAATTCCTTCCGTTGAACCTTGATTGTACTCTGCCTAGTTGAAAATGTTGTTCACCGTCAAATATTTTGTGCTGATAGGTTAGGTTAGGGTGGGTTGTGGTTACCTGTTATAAACACAGGCTGAGACATTCGCGCAGGACAACTATTTTGATTTATCATTGTTATCATATGAGGCGCTAGGGGTGGCTCTTTTTTATTGACCGCCACTGATACAAAGTGGTGTCTGCGAGAATATGTGTCTGGATATTTTCTTTGTCTATTATGTAAAGGGAGTTTTTACTTATTAAAGTGGTATACTTTAAAAAAGTACCAAAAAGTAGCTATTGCTCACTAGCGTTGAATCCTGCATTGTAGCGCATTTGTTTCAGACCATAATTGATTAAATACTGAATTTTACACTAAGAAAGAAAAAACCTGGAAGAATACATCAAAATGGCGGCTTCTTTACTGGTATGTTATTGCTTGTTATTACCTTCGATACCGAGCTCCCTACACACAGCACAAATAACTTGGATAGAGAGGATTGTGGTTACGAGGGAAATATAAAAACAGATGAATTGTGATACATGTTCTCTTATAAGAGAATTATGAAAGGGAATAATGAGAGAGCACCTGTTTGTATGCATTTGCTCAATGTGACTTCCAAACGAGTGGGGGGGGGGGAGTCGAACTAACGAGAGAGCGATGAACATTTCCCGAGAGAGAGACATGTTACATACCCTTCGACATCCCGGACGCTTATTTGGAGATCCTACGCCAATTAAGCAATCTAGGCGGTTCTGCAGCTGTACCATGCGCTGATGAATCAATTGACCCAGCGCCAAAATTGCGTTCTGGGATATTCAAGCGAAGTTGCTGCCACAGCAGGAATCAGAAAATGTGTTTTGTCACATGTAGATTTATGAAAGTTGCATAAGGAAATGGTTGAAATGAATATTTGTTATATGAGGTTTGCAATAGTAGTTTATGCAATTAGTTTATAATGTTAAGCTTTATTGCATGAGTACACGTTTTGAAAACGAGCGACTTTAGGAGCGAGTGTAGGAACGAAGGTAATAACGAAGCAACAATATAAACGAGTTGCATACTATATTTTTTTGTATAACATCATTATACATTTCTATGAGAATCAAACTTAATTTTGCGGAACAACATCCCTGTGACGACTCGGGTATTTGACATCGTGCGACTAAGTAGACGATTTGATATCGCGCGAGTAATAAACGGTGGTAGGCTGTTCCGTTCAGCTCTACCTCCCTTCGATTCTCTCTCTACTATTGGCGGCAGGTGTGATGACACCATCATCCGTGACATAAAATCTAATAAGTCATTTGTGCCAGAAAATGACCGAGTATGAACGATTTCTTGCAACAGAAAAGGTTCTTTCATAATCCTGGAATACAAAAAAAAAATATTTAACAGGGTAGTAACGCCATTATTTCACAGTAAAAGATCTTTCTCAAAAATGTTTTATAAAAGAAAAATGTAACAGTGCATTATTATAAAAAGTCATATCTTATAAAGGATTTATTATAAACAAGTTCTTTGTCAAAAAGGGTTCATCCTTCTTTTATGTTTGTTAATATAGCGTCCGATAAGTTAACGTAAGGAATTGCTGCTACCACAGTATTATCATTAGAAAATGAACATTCAGAGACATGGAACATACAAATTACAAAATACGCAATTAAAAACTCGAGACGTAAATAATTTCATGGTACTGGAAAATTCACAGGAAGCATCATACTTCGTTAAATAAAACGAAGAAAAAATAAACGGATGTATCTACATGAGTACTGAGAAAAGTCCGGGACGTAACAATGGGGGTTCCTCCATCTGATAAGGTGTCTTATATACGAACTTGGTTAATCGAGGAATCGCCCTCAAACTATGGATATTCAGTGTTTTCTCATATTAGTTATTTTCTATTATGTAGCAATAGTAGCTATTATGTAGAGGATATTATGTAGCAATTCCGAGTGTTCGCGAATTTCCTTTATAGTAAATTAATCCAAATATTTAAATAATTTAATTGTCATATCTCCCTCTCTCCCTCTTTCTGTCGCCCTCTCTCTCTCTCTCCGCTCCCTCTCTCTCTGCTCCTCTCTCTCCTCGCTCCCTCTCTTCGGTTCACTCTCTCTCGCTCACTCTCTCTCCTCGCTCCACCTCTCGGGGCGGGCCATGCTAGCAAGGCCGACGGCATCTGGCGAGGTCTCTCATCTCACTCTCTCTCTCGCTCACTCTCTCTCCGCTCACTCCTCTCTCTCGCTCACTCTCTCTCTGCTCACGTCTCTCTCATCGCTCAACTCTTCTCTCTCGCTCACTCTTCCTCCCTCGCTCTCCCTCGCGCTCTTGCGAGCTTTCTCGCTCACGCGCGCTTTCTCGTCTCAACGCGCGCTTTCTCGCTCACGCGCGCTTTCCTGCTCACGGCGCGCTTTCTCGCTCACGCGCGCTTTCCTCGCTCTCGCGCGCACTTTCTCAGCTTCGCGCGCTTTCTCGCTCTCGCGAACTTTCTCTCTCTCTCGCGAGATTCTCTCTCTCGGAGCTTTCTCTCTCGCTCTCTCTCTCTCTCTCTCTCTCTCTCTCTTTCTCTCTCTCTCTCCCTTTATGGATATTCCAGATATGAGGGTCGATTTGTTCGCCGCTGCAGATACACACATTGTATCTTTGTTCAAGTCTGCTCAAATGATACACACATTACGTCCTTCATTAACTATATATATATATTCTTGTATAAAAGAGAATTGTTTAAAACATACGATAACGCCACCGAGATCAAACCCTTCAGTCCTTCATACTTTGTAAAATTTACTGATTTAAATTCTTAATTTTGTAGAATATTCTCTGTTCAAAAGTGTGCTGACTTATTTAGATTTGGAATAAAATGAAAGTACTTGCAACTGTCAATTTGGAACACATCTCTCTTGTCGGAGAATTTCATTACATTAAATTATTTTAAGAGGATGACAGAAGAGAAACGGTGGAAGAACAGTTTCTCAGCATCCCCGTTGAAATACAGGACATGTTATGTAGCACTCCACGTTTTACACATCTTTCTGGAGAGAAGGAATTTTCAGGAGGAAGAACTGCGAAGAAAAGTTTCGCAATCTTGTGCCATCCGAATGCGCGAAGCATCTCAGACGCAGAACGCTCTGAGTTTTATATGCGGCACGTCAACGCCGTGGGAATGCTGGCTGCCACGTTTTACGAGGGGCTCTTCGTTCAAGTGACCCTGAGAGAGCAGGCGGACGCGCAAAGGCGTTGAATATCTCATGTCCAATTCCGATGAGTGTCATGTATCGCAATATGATTCGACGAAGTGTCTCTCTAGCTCTCCTGAATGACAGCCAAATCTGGGTAGGAGGAGTTACCGGTATCGGGTTGTTAGCTGTAAAAAGTTGGAGCGAGACCATATTAAGAGGGCGATCATTTAAAAAATACTATTTTATTTTTTAAGAAGATTGACCAAATGAACATTTAAAGTTGTTTTTCATCACCAGTAGTATATTGTGCATTTAGCTTATATGTATATATTCTGTATTGCATAAGGAGATGTTTTGACAACAAGTGATGTTAGGAGCGAAAGTTCAAATTTTTATGAATGCAATGACAACATTATAAACGAGTTGTGTACGCGCCTCTTTGTATAGATTTGTGGAAGAATAAAAATTAATTGTCGAAACAAATTTCAAAAGCAGTTTTGCTTGGGGCAACACAGATATTGATATTATGACGTTATGTATGAAGGACGGCAGGACAGATGAGCAGGGAGAACGGACAGGATGGACGACATGAGAGAACGGGCATATACGTGCCATAAATAGTCATGATTGCCTAAAATGCCATTTTATGAACTATTTCTTGCAATGGAAATGGGCGTTTAGAATGGTGGTATACAAAAAGTATATTTTTATCATTTCATATCATTGAAACAACTTTGTAAATGTGGTGCAATCAGTGTAGAATTTTATTTTTCTTTCTATATTGTATGAGGTTATGTATGCCTACACATTGATTTGTATCACATAATGAAATAGCAAAGTAAATTACAATTTCGAACTACAATTTTATTAAATTAGTCCTAGATGGAAACAAAATCATTAGTTGATTTACAACCTTACGGAGAAAGGAATTTCCGTTTCTTGCCCTTCATTCATTTGAATCTTGGAAAATATGACATTTTCCTCTTGTGATATATATCTCAAATCATGGATTCCTTTTACCATATTGTTTTTAATGATTGTTGTTTGTAATGATTATTGCACAATTAGTTATTGCTTTATAGTTTAATATACCAATTGTTACTTACTTGTACAAAGCTGATTGGCGTAAATAAACAAATAAAATAAAGTAAACATTTCAGCTTAAGTATAAATTTTCTCTAATTACTAAGAATATTTCTCACTTTTAATATTGACTTAAACAATTTGTATTATTTGTGCTCACTTTATTTGAAAGATACCTACTATCTACACGAAGTTATCTAGGGTTCGGGTAAATGGCAACGTCCAATTAATATCCAAATTTGTAAAAAAACAATTTGTAGAAAAAAAAGTACTTTCCCACACCGAGATACTCCCAATGTGAATTTGAACAATCATACCTACTTTCTGATTTATTGCAGATATATAAACTAAGGAAGAAATGTAAACGAAGTACTCATACAATATGCAATCAAAACAATATAACATGACATGAGGCTTCAATGGGGTCCTAATATATTCCACCCGAGTATGAATCGATTTTTGACACTTCGTTCCCTCAAAATCGTAAAAAATATAGAATGTTTGATGTCTGGATTTAGTGTTTACATTTACCTCGATTTCATTTATCTAATTTACTTTAACTATTGACCGGCTATGATTGTATAATGGTTATCGTGCCGGGCTACTGATCCCAAGTTCGCGGGTTGAATCCCGATCAAAGTCGGAGGATTTTTTTAGGTGCCAAAAATAGACGGCATGCATGGGGTCGCTTGTCGGGCATGTAAAATAGATTCCAAGAAAGGCACTTGACCCATCCTGACAAAATTAAATCCTCTAGCAAATTAGAAACTAATGAGAGTTTCGATTGGAATTACTAGATTTCGGATATTGTATCTTGGCCATCACTATCTGCTTTTCAAATTAAACGTTACAATTGGCACACAAACGCTCCTAGGGAAAGCAATGGTAAACTAACCTAGGTATACTTGCTCAGGATAAGTCTCACAAGAAGACGCCAGAGGCTTCTAGAAACAAACCTATGCACTAATAAGTGTATGGCGTTAATATAACACTATTACAGCAAATCGTCATTTCTTCGAATGGCCCACTTCTAAAGTCCGCCGTGTCATGAAACGTTTTGAACAATTTCCCCTTTCAAATGAGAAATGTAGCATAATATGTATGAATATACGAATAGATAATTGTGAAAAATGTTGTTTATACGCATACCAGCTATCATGTAATTGGACGAGAATGAAATGTATGATTCATTGTTTTGTGAAAACGTCAACCTCATGATTATTTTCGTCGGAGAGAGCTGTTTTTATGCACCTCACTACCCACGGGTTTCCCTTGGTTTTCGATACACAAAATCTTAGGTGTAAACTGCACAATTCCATTAAAAATAAATTTCTAATAAATGCTGATATCTTACCTTTCAAGATTTTGTTAGTGGTTCTATGAAATATTGGCGGAAAACAAATTTGAGTAAAGAGTTCAGTGTACGGTGTAAAGTGCTGTGAAGATCCTTTGAGAAATTGACTCTCATTCCCTACATGTAGTTTCAGCCCGGTTGGAAAATAAAAATTTGGGAAACGGTTCTAAAACCAAAGGGTTTTATCATCATCAACATCAGGGAGGAAGGTGAAACGGGAATAGGCAATGCGATTTACTTCACTTTGGGCAGTTTTACAGAAGCACTTCCCTTTTTGGACCCTCGCCAGTGACAACATGCCTCGGATTTACTCGGTCTGCAGATTAAAGCAGTTAGCCAACGTTAGTAGAGAGTATGACGAACTTCATGAACAAACGTATACTTGCTCCGGATAAGTTTTGTCTGTGTCTACGCCGTCCCTTCAGAATTACAATTTGTCTTGAAATTTTTTGAATAATGCTGTGCGGCTCACTTAACTGGAGCATCACTTAGTGTTTTTGATGCTTCTATTTCGACGTGCTGGGGAAGGTAAACAGCACAGTACACAGTGATGCAGGTCAGAGCAAGATATTTAACATTTCAAATATTTCCAAAAGAAGTGTTTTCAAAAAAATATCGCATTTAATTGACACATCCTGAAAATAATCAGTCAATAAAAACCCGACGTGAATTACGGTGCTAAATATCACATTGCAGTGGTGAAGAAATACCCTCACCTCCCGGGATATATCTTGAACTACACTTTCGGAACGAATGACCGTGACATTTGACGCATTTGGAAACCCAAAACATTCAATCAATTATGTGGGGTCGCGCGGTTCGTGTGCCTCGCTTTTTCTTTTACATGAGGGATGTTCTTTATTCCTCACAGGCACGCTGCCAATAATAGGTTAAGTGCTACAGCTTCAATACCAGTGGCTGGATGCGGCTCGTAGATATGAACCGTCGAAGATGTTGAATTTCACAATGCAGATTTATTCATAATACAAGTTTACAACGAATCCGAATGATACAGCCGAAATGAATATCATTTTTATATCGAGATTTATTAATAACGTCTCGTGGCCACGTGCTACCTTTCGTAGGCGATTCCACATTTTTATTACCTACTTGTTTACTACATATCTGACGTCAATCGCAACTGGAAATAAATGTCTTTTTAAATGTATGTCATTGGAACTAAAATTTATGTTGACCGGGTCTTATTCCACGGTTAGAAAACATCTCAACTCTCAATGTCAACAGAATCAAACATTCTGTTCACCTTACAGTGTCACCGATATAAAATATATTTCGTTGACCTGGCACCCACAGTTTTGATCAAGAATATGGCTTTTTGAGCAATGTTATAACTAGAGGACGGATTTTTATGACCTAAAACATTGCCATTTTTAATCAATAAAATGCTTTAAATGCTTCAAAAATGCCCTAAAAACAAATAAAAATGACGTAAAAAATGTAATCAAAACCACTCCAAGAGAACAACTCAATCTTTTTCCTTTTGTTCAAGCGAACTCAGCTTTCAAACTTTGGGTTTGGACAGTTCTTTACAAGCAAATGTCTGCCTATATTTTGCGCGAAATCGGCCGTACTGACAATGGCGGCGATAAATATCAAAGGAACCTTAGATTACATAGTACTCACAACGGCTGACATTACAATATATGAGCGAAGAAATCGAATAGGCTACTCAGGAATTCTGTAGTAAACATTTGTTGCGCCTCGTAAATATAGTTGAAAGCCAGTACCATTAAAATTATCTTGAAATCGATGAAATCAGAAAAAAATGCAGTGAAATGACGTAAAAAGGTGAATGATTTATTAGTCGAAATCGTCGAAAAATGCAAAAAAAAGACTAATAAAAATGAGTAATTTCATTTCGTCATAACGTAAAATGAGTTTCTATACTAAACGGCATTGTTCTTAAGCGAAAAAGGAAAAAAATGACATTTCATTAAAATCCGCCCCCTAGTTATAACTATTGGGACACGTGTGTGGACATTGGGACTAACTATTGGGACATGGGCGCGGGGCGCAGGTGGACGCGCGCACGCCGTACGCGCGCTGCGAGGAGCTGCTGGGCGGCGACGAGGCGTGGGCGGCGGTGGCGGAGAGCCAGCGGCGCGAGCTGCTGGGGGACGTGCGCATCGCGCTGGAGCGGCGGGAGCGCGAGCAGGCGCGGGCGCGCGCCGCCGCAGCGTGGCGCGGCGCTCGCCGCCGTGCCGCCCTGCTGCCCTTGCCGGCCTCCACACGTGGCACGAGGCGCAGCGCAGCTGCCTGCTCTGCCCGCAGTTCGCCTGCGACGCCAGCCTCTTGCGGTGAAGACAGCGGCTTTTCCCCCGCCCCGCTCCCCTTCCGAACCCTGTTGCCTTGCAGCGGCGGAGCTTAGCTCGGAGCCAGCTTCGCCGCTGTCTCTGCAGTGACTCTGATCGAGAGGGCCTAGGGTTTGAGCCCCGTCGGTGGAGGATTTTCTATACTAGCTAGGTCGAATTCATCCACTGCCTAGAGGAGAATTCTAGCGGACGGATGTTCTGATAAGTAAATTGCCTTGGTTTACGGGATTTTACGGGATTCGGGCCCATTTACGGGATCGTACGGGATCGAGCTTGACCTGGCCGGGGCGGTGTCCCGGTAGGGGGGGGGGATACCGAGGTTGAAATTCCTCGCAAGTCGACAAAAAATTGGCGCCGGACCTCACTATCGAGCGTGGAAAGAATCTCCTGACTGTGCCGGGATAAATCATTCATTACGCTAACGAGAGTAATGACCACAGCAATTGACGTGTCCGGGAACATCAAATAATCAACGTTTCCTTTCCTTTCTCTTCAGCTGTTGTTCTTCGCACCTCTACGTTCCATAGCCTCCTCTCTTTCTCGCATCTTTCGTCTCTCTCCATTTATTTCTCCACCATCTCGTATCTTCTTCTCTCTCCTCTGTTTTCTTTGCTCTTTTTCTTCCCCCTTCCCATCGTCCCCACGTTCCCTCTCCTTCTTCTTTCTTTCCCTGTGTCCATTCTACTTTTATGTTTTCATGTTCGTCGTCTTTCAGTTTCCATAGAGTCTGGGGGATATATTTTTCCTTAGAAGAGAAGTGCTGTAATTGAGATATTGTTGATTTAACTGAGAGGTATAAAATGTCAACATCAACGAGGGGAAGATCCATTTTCCTACCAGTATGAAATAACTGTGTAAAGATGGCATCGGTTATGAATGCCCATCATTCTCTCTCAAAAGATTAACAGTGCTTATCCAAGCCTTAATCCACAATGCACTCTTAATTTCCAGTAACCCATTAAAAGTACTTTACATCCAGCACATTATATTAATGTTTATTTCACATTTCAGTAACCCTGTGTTCAGTTGTCCATTAATTCTTTGAAAACTACATAATATTTTCGAAGGAAACAATTTTACCAATTACTTCCTCCATCAATGTCCCATTGCAAAGGCACCTGGAAGTGGAATTAGAGAGCGTTTAATACACCAATCTCAGTTGTCCAATGCATTCTTGAGTCAATGTGTATTTTATTGTCGACATTGCTGAATAATTGCAATTGAACATAAATAACTGTCACCCTCAGATGAGATTTAACTATCTTCCATATAATACTCTATTCGGTGAACTTTAGTAAGTAATATAAAAATTTTAACAAGAAAATAACTTGCTTTCTAGTACACCCAATGTTCCAATATCTCTCCTCTGTCACTCTTCCTAAAAATCACCCGGAAATACATTGAAATACAATGAAACGTTTTATTGTCATTCGTGTTTTATGATAGAGTTCACCACTTTAAACTGTTATGATCTGCTATATTAATATTTTTAAGTTAGCGTTACTGTACATGAATCAGTATCATAATTATTTTGCCTTGTTAGCCGTCGATATAGATATGTAAATAATATTTGTAAAATGAGAAAGAGATTCGCAAAATATTGTATTACATTCTATCCCATGTGTTAGATTTCACTGTTTGGAAATTTAATGAGTGTCCTCTAAAGAATGCTAGGAATAAATATCAGGGAAATATAATTGATGAAACTATTGAAACTCTTTATAAAAATAATAATAATAATAATAATAATAATAATAATAACAATAACAATAATAATATCAAATATAATGAAATCTAAATATATTGTTTTTTATGCTGCATTTTTTACTATTTTAATTGCTTCAAAACAGGAATTTAAATCAAATCGTTTGATCATCATAGTCAAATAAATCAAATGACCGGTGAGATAACATTTGTAGGTGACAATTCTCCTGGTGAGTTCGGTGGCGCTTAGTTGTCTTCCACTAATTAAAAGCATCTCACTTCATTCCTTCAATAGATGTGAAATGAATGAAATGGGTGTTAAAATGTATTTTTAGCCATTAGTATTAGTGGGAAGGTACTGGTGGTATCTATTAAATGTTGTTTGGAACATTTTACTTTTTGCTGCTATTAATTTTTATAAAAATAGACCTTCATGGATAATTTTCGAATTGATTTGACACTAGCACACATCACATGCGCTTTATTAAGTTGTTGATAGTTAGATGGTAGTCAGGTCATGTGTTTTCACAGGTCCTACCATTCTCCTTTATTATACTATCACACCTTCACCCTTATAATTTATTAATCAATTTCATCAACCCTCGTCTTATTAGCTAAATCTCAGGCACAGAGAATCATATCAAATAAATTATTCGCGGCTCGCCATTGGTACTGATGTTGATTATCGTAAATGAAATGCTATTTCTAATCAATAAAACGTTTTATGAAATTTTTTTTCTTCTTTTTTTTGAAATTTATAGAATCCATTGTCCTGACCACTGTCCTGACCATTACTAAATTTAACTAACGTTGACACTTTCCCATTTTATGTTTGCAATCAGCGTTCAAGTTCCGTCCGCCACCCTATACGATACTTTAAAACTTTGGAAGCTTTCGTTATAGGTGATGGGAGAAAAGTCGGGTGTCCTACTTACGAATTTTGAAAGAAGAGCTTTGACGGGTCTTCGGGAAAGTTTGCGAGCATAACAGTTAAAAAAAACTATTTTGTTCTGTCAAGGAAGAGCCTTGTCGCGTCATGTCTCTTGAGTGTCACACATTAATGCCCTCTAATGTAAACTCTGAGCTCAACCTCAAATTTGTCATTGTATCTACACGGAATTATGTTTATATGCATGATACAAAGCGGCATTGTGATGATAAAAGATAGTTTAATTACTGATGTCTGTTTATTTTAAGTAGGGGGGAACAGATTGCTTCTAGAGGCTTAGGGGAAGCGTCCGAGATCAAAAGTCTGCCACCTCTACGCCTAACTCTCAACTAGTGGACAAGTTAGTAGGCGATTACGAGAGCTGTTGTGACCATGCAACAGTCAACCGATGACAAGCGATTGATGCTTTTAGAGTGTGGCACAATCGTTACTCGAATATCACAAACCGTCATCGTTTCTGACCGCGAGGGAATCTCACATTAAACACCGAAAGGGAAGCTACCCGGTGAAGACCGCTGTATTTGGAGAGGGCACGATTGTCAATAAAAAATGTAGGACATGCGCAGTGAAAGGGCTTTCTTCTACACAATTATACTGCAGAAGAGTTATGCTAAGTACTCACCCAATGTGTAAGGTTATCCTTTTTTTCTGACACGAATTCGAGACATTTCTTTATGAACAGTTTGGGGAAGGAGTCAGGTAGGGTTAAATGAATTGTTGAAAGAGGGGTGATCTTGTTAAGAGAAAATATAATACTTTTTCTCAAATGCAGTATTTGTTTTGATTTATACATTAAAGGCATTCTGAATTAAAGTATATTTTGATATTTAGCTACTATCAAAACTAATTATGTATATATGGCATTATGTTATAAGATAGTAAAAACGAACAAATTGATGAACTATTTACTTCAACTGCTTATTATTTTAGAGCTTTTAATCTCGGAATTTCATTCGATTTCATGTTTTACATCACGCGTCTCTTATGATTATATAGAGAATTAGGTTGAGTAAGTATATCGTTTTCAAATAACGAAATTGCCAGTTTTAAATTAACCCTTATCCGGGCAACCGGGATCCATTGGACCCAGAAGCAAAATGTTTAATATTTTACGTGAAAACTATCCAAGGTTTTAGGACAGTGTTTTGTGACTCTTTGTTACAGTATTTTTTAAATGTTCCCGAAACCATTGTACGAAAGCGTTACTGAATAATAAATTTAAAAAATCTTTATCACTTCATCTCTTAATCTGCTTGTAATATTGCATGTTATGATTTTGATTGGTCGATTACTTGACGACCGCTTCATGCCCAAGGGATGGATGGATGTCTGGTTGTAACAACGTTTCATCGGGAAGTTATCAGACACTACGTGTGAGCGATTCTAAGATCGACACTTTTGTAGACAGAGTTGCTCCGGGTTAGAATGTAGCCGAGTCAGGAGGGTGAGTTTTTAAAGTTGTGTTACCGCGATAGGAATGTTGCTGACCCTGACTGAGTGTTAGAAAACACGAGATCATATGACTTTTTATTGTTAACATTGCAAAGAATTTCGTTCCTACACAAAATGTAAGGATACTGTCGGATAATTGGATAATAAGGATTGAATAAAAATTGTCGCCTCTCAATCACACACGTTTTCGAGAAAGAAGGAGCTTCCACATCTCAGAAAATTGATAATAATGTAAAAAAATATGTCATTTGTGCTCTGGGGAAAGACATAGGAATCTAAGAGATGTAGCATCTATTCAAAAGCTGTCTGTAATGAGCATAACCAGGGTAACAGTGTGTGTGACCTATAATAAGAGAAAAAAATGTTTAATAATCAAATGTAAAGTATTTTGAAAGGGTTTGTGATATTTAACCATTATATTGGAGAGTTGAGTTTCATTATCCACATCAACAAAGTACACCTGTAAGCATTATTCCGCCGCAGACACTACTGGGTCCGCTGGACCCCGTTCCGTCATTTTAATCGGTTACGCAGAAAAGGGTTAAAGGGAATAAGATGTCGAACTAACTACTTTGAATGCCCTATATCCACTTAAGGTTTAAGCTAACAATTTATTCAAAATTATGCATTTGAAATATAATAATGCAATTTGCATTCATTGCTAATTTTTTTCCGGAACACAACATGCCGGTATGAACATGAAATACACCACGACTGATTGGCGGCAGTGAAACTATTAACGTACAAAATGGTATTGGTCCAATAGGTTGCAGTACAATGAATATTAACCGATAACAGCCAATAATAAATAAACTAATAAAACAGTTGGCTTTGTATCTATAATTTATTTTAAACATGTACGTACATTTCAAAGTGTTGTTGATTTTATTTTGAGTATAAACAGAGAAATGTAACTATAATAGTAATGTAAATGTTTTTTCTGTGTATTACATGGCAATGTAAAGTAAATGTTTAAGCCAATAAAATTTACATGCATTAATTCATAATAGCCACTTGTAGGTTGAAATAAATAACCGTTTTTTCTCGTACGATTTCGAACTATTAACTGATAAGACTACAGAGTTTAGTCGTTAAGGGACATCCGTAGTTCATAGAGGGTTCTTGCAAATTCTCTCGGGATTCTCGTTATTCCTGCTTCATTCCACCATTGCTTCAATATCTTTCACACTATATCATCATCATCATAATACGTCAGTCATTTATCTCAACATATTATATATTTCCGAATGTGTTTGGGAAGGGAGGGTAGTGATAAATATACGGATATCCAATCGTATGTTCTCTAAAATGCTGATCTATTTAGCAGTGACGGCTCGTGCCTGTTTTTTAAAAAGTTGAAATATTGCATAAGGTAGTTTAAATGAAACTTACAACAAATTGTAGATTAGATGCACCTATTTGCGATGGGATGAGAGAGGTAGGTTTCAGAGACCTCTCAGTTCAGATTTGACCTTTTACCTGGGCTTCCACCAGTGCCCATTGTAAGATTACAGAGGGTGCGATTTTCTTTCCTGGCCCTGTCACTTGCGCGAGTGTGAAATAACGATTTCGATCATTCTCACGGTAATTTAAGACGCGTGTAGTTAAGAAGTCGACCGAAGTCAATTTCCCATCAACTCAAAAATTCGTCATCAAAAATATTTTATTTGTCAATTACATTCAAAAGACGAAAGTATATTAGGAAAAGTTGCCTTCACAACATCATCTTAGAAACCAACATTGTCATTCAGGTGTAACCATAAGACAAAGTTACCAATCGTAATATGGCCCATTAATGCCCAGAATTATTTTATCGTTTTTTCTTTATGAAATTATTATAACACATTGCTCATAACGTTAATATTATGAAATAAAATTATTTTTGTCAATTTTCAAATGTTTAATGTTTTTTGGGGTGGTAGGAAAATCTGCCAAGGGCAGTCAAAAAGAATGAAAAAACTAAAAAATACAATTACATGTACTTCAATTTATTAACAGTGAAACAATATACATTATTATATACTTTTAGTATATCCTAATTATCACTGTTTAACATGATATATTTTGTGGCACTCAGGATGTAGTGGAACTGAACACTTTTCGCACATATTTGGGCATCTCCTTTTATCCTAATTTTAGTACCGGGGTTTTGGATGGGTTTCCGTATTTGCTCAGGATTTCCACAACACATTGCTGTTGAAACTGCAGCTGTGAGATTTGATTGCCAGAAGAAAGATATAATCTCTACGCATTTACAACAGCAGCACTGAGTCTCCATACAAAGAGTGGCCACCACCATTTTTTGGACCTAATTCTGACCCTGTACATTGACACGTACTGGTCATGATCATCAACTCCACCCATATATTTGTTGTAAATGGCAATCTGATAAGGCTGCGGAACCTTATTTTTTTCTTTTCTTTTACGCACAATCGTTTAGCTAAAGGTAATGGTGCGGTTTTCACATAAATACTTCCCACAATACCAAACTAATGTTGTTCCCCACCACACCCCAACTTGAAAGCCTCATTCAAAATGTCAAACATTGTTCTTATCTTGTAATATCTGTCACTTATCATTTGCATGTTGTCAGCAAAATGTTATCTTCGCATAATATCATCGAGCACATTTCTTCGCGTAGCGGAAGATACCTGAATATTATGCATATCTGGAGAGGTACTCCAGTATAATCTTCTATTAGAAATTTGTTGTATCCTGACAACAGCAATATTTCAATAAATGTCAGTAGATTCTCTCTAGAAATTCACTCCATTGAGAATGTTTTAAGAAGCATAAACTACACTTTGTTCCAATATTTTATCAATAAGCTCTGGTGGATACATTATGCTAAAAATACCTAGTGGAAATTGGTGTATTTTTGAGAAAATCAGTCTGCGTTGGATGATATTGTTTCTTATATGCAGGGATATTCTTTCCTACACTGCTAAAATAAAGATGAAATTATAATAAGTTCTGTAAAATCGTACCCACAACAATCTATCATTTTTATTTACACAATATAAAATAAAAAGATCCTATGAGCTTTCGTCATGAACCCAATGTATTGCTCTCATTGTTGTCTTTTGTTTATTTTTGCCAGCTTCAGAACTCTCGGGTAATGCGCAGTCGTCATATTTTTCATTATTTCTTTATGATATTTGACCGTCACTTTGAAGAACTCTTCGTGGTAATTGTTGGGTAGCCTCTAACTTCATCATCACTTTCATCGGAATCTTGACCAGTTTTAGCTAGTGGTTTTTCAGACGCAGGCAATAATGCAATGCAACAATTTACATCGTTGTCACTATCCGCTTCCAAAATATGGCAGATTTCATTTACTGTCAGACTACATATAGAAATAAATGGCAATAATTATTGTAAATTATTTGTAGTTCTCGTTCAATGTCATGAAAAAATGTATAATAATACTCAGTGGCAGGAAAACCTGCCAGACAAATTTCATAAGCCAGTTAAAGCAGATAAAATGTCAAGATTTAATATGATTTTAACACTACTATTGACACTACATTAATATTGATACATCTACTATTGTTTTGTTCAGTTTTATATTAAAAATTCATTATTGAATCAAAACTATACACCTTTTTTGATCCCTCGAATGCTACATTTCTTTCGCTCAGCGTGTCACCTTCCCTCAGATTCCAATAGCCAGACAACAATGATAAAGTTCCGTTTCAAATAAAGAATAAACATTAACTTCCTCAGAAAATACGTTACAACCGTTATATTAAAAAATAAAACGGTTGCTGTAGAGATAACATTTATGGCAGACAATCCTGGCAGTGGGCAGTCATGGGTGTCATTAGGTCGATAAAGGGAAAAGAAAGGAAGTGGCTGACATGTGTAGTCTGAGGGGAAAAGCCGAGGTTTATAACCAAGTCCGTTGTGTTTGATGTCGATAGTGTGTCGTTGAATACTGATCGTAATACCGCTACCTTATAATAAAAATCATACTAAAATTGACCACATTTTTTGGGAAGGGAATTCATACCATTCTCCATCTTTAGCTATATTACATTCGTTTCGGTTTGCTCTTAAAGGGTTACAGACTTAAAATTCGTAACAGACGTCGGCCGTTATGAGTGATTTTTCCTTCCGATGTTTCGCTGCATCAAGATGATGTAACAATACGAACAATACGAATAGATAAAAATCATCCAATGTTCATACCTCTCGCTTTGATTCGGACCGGTAAGAGTGGCTCATTGATTCAACTGATATTATTGCTGTCTCTCTGACCGGGCGAGGTCATAGAGTTCGAGTCCCGTCGCTGGCAGATTTTCGACACAGATAGCTAGATCAGGCTCTGTCTGGAGGGGAAACCTACGGCCCGCTCCTCTTATGGATAGTTGTTCGTGGTTTCTCTGATCAACACCAGAGCAGAACCCTAACAAAAGTGCTACGGACCGTGTGCGATCTTCCTTGTCCTATAACCACATTCACATGCACTACTCGTACACTACCACACTTGTCGGGTGACCGGTAGGGAGCTTAGAGGTTGTCCCGTCTAGAGCGGTGCCATGCTGGTGGGAGTTACATGGTTGGGGAAAATCCCTGTAAACCGAAGAAGGTTGGTGCTAGATTTTCTCAGCGGGGGAAGATCACAGTCATTCTAAATGCTCTTAAATACAATAAAAAACGTGCTCTAAACTTACGGGACTAACGACCTTAGCAGTTGGTGCGCCCGACCCCACTAATTAACCAAGCATGCCTCTCGCTCTGTTTTGGCGTGCGCACGGCGGGGCAGCGATGGACAAGCTGGACGCGCTGGCGGCGTTCGAGGAGTACATCCGAGGCGAGGAGCAGCGCGAGCGCGCGCAGGCGAAGCGGCTCCGCGAGCGGCAGCGGCGACGCGCGGCGCGCGAGGGCCGCTGCGCGCGCGACGCCTTCCTGGCGCTGCTGACCGAGCGGCGCGCGCGCGGCGCCCTGCACGCGCGCTCCCTCTGGAAGGAGCAGCAGCCTCACCTGCTGCCCGATCCGCGCTACCAGGCGCTGCTGCGACACGCCGCCGAGCACGACGGTCAGTTTTCGGCCTTTACCTCCGCTATCACCGTTTTGCGGGACACTTCAGAATAAATGTTGAATACTTCTACGCCATGTAGACCCCCACATATTTACCACTTCTATCACCATTAGGCAGGTTGTCTTGGAATAAATGTAAACTTGTGGTTTATGCTGCCATCACCACCACTTCCAATTGTTGTAAGACAGTACGTCTCAGAATAAATGATGCTAACTTCTAGGCAATGCAGTCTCCACCTTGTATCAACGTTATCAACGTCTTTTAAAGTTATATAGGACTTCAAAATAAATGTTACAAACTTCCAGGCTATATAGAGGAGTCGTAGATAGACACCTTTTACGAATGAAAATGCGGCGTAATATTTCATGAAACGAGATACGCGTTTGACATTTGCCCCCTAATTGTTGGGTAACTCCCCAAGCATCGATATTTGGCAGGAATACGAAATTCCTTCGATTGTATTAGTACAAGATCTGCTAAACAGTAGTGCAGGGCGAGATGCCTACCATGGAGCAAACGTGACCTGTGGAACTTCGCTCTATAAAATTTTCCACCCATACTCAACATTTAAAAAAAAACTGATTCTGTTCGACTCCTCTACATGCTTTGAAGCTTTGTAGCAATTATTCAGAAACATCCTGTGCAGGGGTTGGTTCAGGGGGCTATAGGAGTCATGCGCACCCTCCATTAGAAAACGCTTTTAATGCTTTTCTCAGTTTATTAAAAACAATTACCAAATATTGATTACAGAATATTTCAATGACGTGTACCCCGAACGAATACACTTTAATGCATTCCTTATTATACGAATCATTATTTAAATTAAAAAAAAATAACTTTTCCCCTTTCGGTGTTTACGAAAGAAGAAATGGTCACTTAATCTTTATTCCATAGATAAAATTAAAATTGAAAAGAAATTCAATATTCAAAATAGAGGGCCTGTAGAGGAATATAAATTGATTACTTTTTGTCAATGACCATTTACTGGGACAATGCATATAACTCTGTTATAACTCTGTTATATGCATTTATTCATGCAGCATCTGCCCCTGAGGTTTAGACTGCGTCAGAATATAACCTGCCGCATATTTGTGCATAAAAAGTTGCCTAATAATCAGGAAAAATGTCTCATGCGTAACTTTATTATGTGAAATTGCCTAGTGCATGTTGATTGGCAGAAAGTGCATTTTAGACGATCTAGAAGTTTCTAACATATTCTGAGATGTATTTCTTGTACCCACTTTTAATAGGCTAGCCGCAGTAACAAGATGAGACACTCTTTGATAAAAAATAATGAGAACATTTACGAACAACGGGAGCCTTGTTGTTGATGGTATGGCTAATATACAGTTATTGCTGCAACCCCTTCAATTATTTCACCTCTTTGAGGCCCGACAAACAAACGGTTTGGTGCAACTTGTAAGTTATTATTTACAACTTACTATTTGCGTTAGAAGTGCTGCGTTATTGTGTGCATAATCATTCTTGTGAACGCATCCGCATACAAAATTGTTGTGAGCTTCAATAATAATCGAGGAATAAATTTCAGTTTTCTGAAGAATGCGAATTTTCACCTTATGCAGTCAAGAATTCAATCGCACAGCGCGGTCTCTTACGAATATTGATGACGGCCATTTTTCGAACGATTGCAGTGCTGTCACTTGTTCTCGTAGAAAGTTACTACTACGCCGGATTGTAGAAGGTTTGAGGAATAGTCCAAAATTGAAATTTTTGGCTTCACTCATTTCGTTTAAGTAGAAAAAATAGGCATTACTCTCTGACTGTCTCTTGTAATTTACTTTTTGCATAATTAAATTCAATTATTTTTAAATTTTGGTCACAAAAGACAGTAGTTTTCATCTCCAAAAGGTTGAACATTGTAAGCTTTTGGTGCATGTTGTATATACAAAGTGGTTAATTATACTGTATTTATTGATATAAGCTTTTGATGTGGACGATTCTTCAAAAAAAGAGGAAAAAGATAAAGTAGAATTTGGTAAAGTGAGAAAGAGGGCAAAAGGGGAAGAAGGAAGTGGAAAAGAAGAAGGGGGAAAGAGGAATAAATAGAACAAAATGAAAGAGAAGAAGTAAAGAGATGAGAGGAGGAAACAAGAGGACTATAGGTAGAGGGGGAGGAGGAGGAGATTAAGACTGAAAAAAGTGAAAGCTGAGATGATTAGGGAGGAGAAGAAGCCGGATGAGAGAAACGAGAAGAAAAACGTGAATAGGGGGAAGAAAAGAAGGAAAAGGAGGGGGAGAATAATTTTTGTCATAAAGTACATACAAAAGTAGATTTTTGAGAAAACTGTAAACCACAACTCAGCTTCCATATGGGAAAGAATTGTTTTTTTTTTGTTAAAGATAAATACACCTTCTAAAATACTGAAAATAGCGCGTCGTTTCTATTTTTTCTTGTCTTGTTAATAAATTAGGTTTTGTAAGAAAATATTTTAACATACAACATTTAACATTTAACACTCTTGAAAACTAATGCCCAACCCAGTAGACAGCTCATATCTCACAAACTGAGAATATAAGTATTGTGAAAAGGGTTAAAATCATATTTAGAGTAAAATTAACATCACCGAATAAAAAAAAAAGATTTTGTGGAGCAAAAAGAAATTCAGGACAGATGAAGCTAGAATTTGTATGGTTAAAATTATGTCTTTCAAAGTAATAAAATAAAACAATAAAATAGTCCATCCTAATTTACAAAGGGCCAGATTTGCAAAAATTTTGAAGTGCTTAATCACGAATAGATGTCACAACATAAAAGGAAAGGAAAAATAAACCATCAGCGAGACGTAGCAATTTTAGTCCGTTTCCATGATATGCTCACCAGATTCAGTGAACCAGTCTCTCGCTACGAAATATTTCAATTACCCTCACTCGCTTTCTGCATGAAGAGCGTAACGTAATATACGACCGAAGTTCCCACAATCCTTTTATGTCTGTTTGGAAATATCAACATGCTGTTATTTATTGCTCCGAAGTGCATTGAACCTCACATTGACCGCTTTACAATGAGCACTGGGCCGAGCACTAAGTCTCTTCATTGGCTGCGCTCCTCCATTCACTGTCCCATGAAGAGAAATTGCATACAAGCGTATTTGCTCTCTTGGGGAAGGGAGGTCAACAAAAGCGCATGAGTCACTAGAGTTTTTCTCTCGCTTCCCTGCTCCAGTCAAATTGCCTAACGTGAAACTAATATTTGATTGGCTTTTTACTTTCACAGAGCAATAGCTGTCACTTAAAACTAAAAATTAATCTAAAAATTAATTTATTATTTGTCGGAAATTAATCACTTTCATTAGTTTCACATCGTAATTCTCTTGTTCCGTTATTCTATTTGAACAATTCGGTGAAAGTGTTTGAAATACAGGAGAAAACCAAATATTTCTTGCAGATCCGATGGCCGAGATCGCTACGGCAGTAGGCAGGCAGTTCGAGTCCTGCCTTGGGCATGGTTGTATTGTGTTCGTTCTTTCACCATCTATCATCATATCGTGTCATCCTCACAGTTACCTTAAGTAACAAACAAACATAACAAAAAACAAACATTTTATGCTCGTATCGACTGCGTAATGTAGAAAATATACAATTTTCAGTAGATATTAATGGTCATTTTCAAAATGTGTAATTTATGATACCAATGGAAAAAAGCAAAGTACATAAAAGTAGTAATTTAATCATAAAATGAATTATTCAACGGAATGATACTGATTTTTTGAAGGAAAAAAGTGTAATGTCATAAAATCCCTACCTCCTAGAATCAGATTTCAATCTATTGAGAAGTCCTTGATATAAATTTTAATAAAGAAGACAATAAGCAGCAAGTTCAGTGAGATACACTTGACCATGTTTCGTTTGCAGGGCTTACTGATAAGGGCTAATCATTTATAAATGTGCATACAGATAGCGCCTAATTATTGTTGAGGAAAATACTATTGCTTGTATCAAAATTATTCCGTAAATTCACAGATATATAATTTGTGGCGTGTAATGTTTACAATCGCAAGGTCCTACTTCTAGAAAATGAATGGAGTTTTGCCTTCAATGACAATTAATCAAGCTTGTTGCGAGCATAGTTTTTGGATATTTGGTTCATTTCTCACACAAAATACTTAGGATAGATTTGACACAGAAATGTCAAATGCACATTTTAAAGAATAATTCAATGTAAGGGAAGACTTTTTTGATTTTTTTAAGACCAAACGCAAAATGGAAATGAGACACATAAGTCTAATTTTAAATTCAGAATTAATTGTCTTGTAAAAAAATCCCATCTTATAATTTCTATGATTGTAATCGTTAGAAATGCATTATGAGATTGTTGTTCACGATAATAGATTTTTGTAATAATTTTCTTACCTTCAGGTTCTACTCCACTGGATTTATTCAAATTCTACGTAGAGGAATTAAAAGATAAATACTACAAAGACAAGAAAATGGTGCAGAAAATCCTAGAAGAACACAACCTTGTTGTGAAGGTATTTACATTACAATTATTATTAATAAAAAGACTTGAGGGCAAATGACTTCCTCACCAACGTACGGTAGTGTAGTGTAGTCGTACGACGCCTTGGTTCGGCTGATGTCAGATTTATTATCATTAGGGCTGTGATTTATATGCATTTTCATACTTTTTTGTGTTAACATTCTGTAACTAAAACATCCCGTTTCAACAAATTGTATACGTTTTGAGGCATTTAACATCAATTTAAGCTATTTTTATTTAGTATATTGTCGCATATATTACCATAATTGTATATTTGTCTCACATTTGCATATTTTTGTTGCATATTTATCCCTCATCCGCGAAAAGAAGTCCAAAAGTTACAGTTCCCTCATCGTGTAAGCTCTGTCAGTTCTCTCGTCACTTTCTATGGTACATCATGTGCCCGGCTCTGAAGCAATAGGCTTCCGAGGATTTGCTTACTTTGCCATAGCCACTGACCAGCGTTGCGACTCGCTTGACTACACGAAGTCGCTCGAGAAGTACGCTAAGACCTGTCACCGGCTGCATCAATCGAAATGAAATGTGCATCCGCCGAGCGCATGTCTGTGAAGTTGGCATCACCACCACAACCAAAACCACAGAAACCATTACCATTCGTTTGTACCTGGTTAGTACCCATTTGTACCACAAAAACATTCGTGTGTACCAAAACCACTTACAGGATACAGCACTTTTTATTGTGGTGGTGCCTACTTCATACCGGTACCGCCACCATCGTAAAAATATTTGAAAACATTTTATATCGTTTGTACCGGATAGTTCTACCAGAAGTTTCGTTTGTACCAAAAAACTAATGTGGATACAGCCGTTTGAGGCGGCGGGAAGTGAACCGGAACTGTACCACCATTCTCGTCACAGCAACCGTAGAAAATTGTGAAATCATACTCAATTGATTGTACTGGTTTGTATCGGATGGCTTCACCTCAATTTTTGTTTGTACTGAACAATTAATGAAAATACAGCAATTTTAAGGTGGCGTTTGTTAGCGCATTTCTACCAATTATTATACATATTGTGGCGTCGTTAACACGAGGGCCAGAACCGTTAGGTCGGTGAAAGTACGCTGCGGGGGA